GAACGATGGGAGCAGCCCAAGTTGCACCCTCTTGGCGATGAAGGCGCTGGCGTGATGATGCAGATCCATTGAGGGCCTCCTTAGCAGACCTCTTACTGTTCTCCATGATCTCAAACCTACGGAAAAAGCCAGAACTATATTAAGGATGCAAAAGGTTTGAGACAAAGCAGGCTGTTGTTCGATCCATAGCCGTGGCCCATATATATAGACTGGGAAGGTGAGAAGATAGATTTCGCCGGGGGTGTGAAATTGTAATCAGAAACGGAAGCGGATCGACACTCCAAAAATTCAGGGGGTAGATAGAAGAGAAACACGACTGAGTTGTTGAGTTGCTCTCGCCAGGGTCGGATAGACATTTTATAGCCGGCCTGGAAAGATGAATCCAAGTGCCCGTGAAGCAAAGATGCTCTCGTAAAAAGTTTTGAAGCATGGGCTCATAAGTTGACATAGGCGATGACAAATAGTAGACCCCTAGATCAAGATTCTCTACCCGTGACTGCAGACCTATCAGGGATACATACGCAATAATTTTGGAATAAAATTACTTTTATCCCAAAATTAGGGGGCATGTGTTTACACCAAAATTTGGAAGAAGGGTTGCAAGGGACTCGAAAGCTCCCAAGATCATGTCAGCAGGGAATCAATTGCGTGCAGATTGGGACCAGCTGATTCGAATGCAGCACTGGAATCGGCTTTCTTCAGGCAGCGCCATGAAAGCTCTAGTTTGGTTTTGGTAAATTGATGAAACCCTAAGTGCTAACCTAGTTCATCAAGTGATCATGAGATAGGTAGCACACTTCAAGTAGAGAAGCAAATGAAGATCATAACATGACAATGGTGATAGCATGGAGATGATCAAGGGCTTAAACTTGAAGAGAAGAAAGAGAAAAACAAAAAGCTCAAGGCAAAGGTATAACTTGTAGGAGCTATTTTATTTTGGTGATCAAGACACTTAGAGAGTGTGATCACATTTAGGTTTGATAGCCGTACTATTAAGAGGGGTGAAACTCGTATCGGAATGCGGTTATCAAAGTGCCACTAGATGCTCTAACTCATTGCATATGCATTTAGGATCTAGTGGAGTGCTAACACCCTTGAAAATATTTGTGAAAATATGCTACCACATGTGCACAAGGTGTTTGTAGGGTTGAGATGGGTTTGGGTCCTTCTCCCTCTCCTAGAGCTTGTTTCGGCGGGATTCGCGCTTTCGGAAAATGAAATGTCTATTTTCTATTGCGCCGGATGCAAAATTCTTAGTGGTTGGCACATTTGAGCAAGGGTGAAGAAGTAAGAGTTGAAATGGAGTTGATCGAATGATGTCAAGGCGTCGGTTCATCGACCGGACGCTGGTCACTCAAATGACGGACGCTGAAAGGTCTGCGTCCGGCCGAAATATCGACGCAAGACAATGGCTTAGGTTGAGCACCGGACGCTGGCTGCGTCCGGTCAAGGTGGACCGGACGCGTCCCGTCCGAAAAACATGCCTCGGGAGCTTACTAGAAACGACCGGACGGACAGGCGCTTCAGTCATCCGATCGCTTTTACCGGAGCGTCCGGTCAGGTTCGCAGCCGTTGAAATCTGACGAACAGCGTTTGAAGCTGGTGACACGTGGCAAAAATCAGTGGACCGGACGCTGTGTCCAGGGTCCGGTCAAGTGGACCAGAGCGTCCTGTCAGAGCGCAGAGTACCCAGTGAAGGGGTACAACGGCTCTATTTCGTGGGGGCTTCTATTTAAGCCCCATGGCCGGCTATGGCTCATATCTTTGGCCATTTCTACTGACATAGCATACTTGTGAGCTTAGCCAAAGCCCTCCCACTCATCTACATCATTGATTCATCATCATAGTGAGATTGGAAGTGAATTCAAGTACATTGTTTGAGTGATTGCATCTAGAGGCACTTGGTGATTGTGTTTCGCTGCGGATTTCGCTTGTTACTCTTGGTGGTTGCCGCCACCTAGACGGCTTGGAGCAGCAAGGATCGTTGAGTGGAGGAGGTGATTGTCTCCGACTCCGATCGTGGTGATTGTGAGGGGTTCTTGACCTTTTCCCGGCGGAGCGCCAAAAAAGGTACTCTTGTAAATTGCTTGTGGCTTGTGTGATCCTCATTTTGTGTTGGTTGTGCAGCACCCTATTGAGGGTTTGGCGAGTGATGCCAATCAGCGCGTGAACCTCCAAGTGAGTGAATCGCCACAACGAGGACTAGCTTGCCGGCAAGCAAGTGAACCTCGGTAAAAATCATTGTGTTCATCATTTGATCCCGAGGTGATTGGTCTACATTGGTATTCATTATTGTGATTGATTGGTTCCTACCACTACACGGCGGTATAACTCTCTTGCTCACTCTTACATTACCGCAAACTAGTTATCAAGCTCTTTAGTGTAGCTAGTTGTGAGAGCTTGTTTGTTTGATTAGTGTTGCTCTTTAGTTAGTCTTTGAGAGCACACTAATTTAGCTAAGTGTCATAGCTATTGTGTGGACATACACTATTCGAAATAGAATTGTGGTAGGTGGCTTGCATTTTAGTAGGCTAGCGCAACACTCGCTTCGCCGTAAAATTGTCTAACACATTTTGTTAAGTGTTGTTGTAGAATTTTATTAGGCTATTCACCCCCCTCTAGACATTAGGACCTTTCAACGTGTCTGCTCATCACACAGGTCATGGGTTTTTTCACATGCATGTGGTGCCGTGGAGATCAAACTTAAGATCTGAAGCCCTTTACGAGGCCAAATTATATAACCACCATGCCACATAGTCAATTGTGATTGAGTATAGGAAGCTATCCTATAGTATTAATATTACGAATCATGTACGGACTATTTTGGCCTCTAAACGATGTCAAATGGGAAAAAGGGTTCAAACTACAATGTTTTAGATCTAGTTGAGCACTACAACTTCGGTTTAGGGTGTCTCTTCATCCAATGTTGTTTGAAAAACTAAGAAAAGTAAATTTTAAAATTTGAGAACTTAAATCAAACTTTTGAGACCCTAAATGATGTAAAATAAAAAAAAGTTTGAACGGTAACGTTTTCTATCTAGTTGAGTGAGCACTTTAATTTTGTTCTATGGTGTGTCTCCACCCAAGGTCTTTTGAAAACATCAAAAAATGAATTTTAAAATTTTAGAACTTAAATCAAACCTTTGAGACCTAAAATGATTTAAAATGAAAAACTACAAATTTTAGATCTAGTAGAGAACTATAATTTTGATTTAGGGTGTCTCTCAATCAGAGGTTGTTTAAAAAATTCAAAAAAATAAACCTTAAAATTTGAGGACTTAAATAAAACATTTGAGATCCCAGACGATTTCAAATGAAAAGCCTTAAACAATAAAGTTGTAGATCTCTTCGATCTTTGCAATTTTAATATAAAGTTTGTTTTCATTAAACTTGATTTGAAAAAATTATGAGTTTTTTTTATGTTACATCAATTTTTAGAGGCAAGCCATATATTCTCGACCATCTCCACAAGTCGTATTTCTATATGCAGTTGATGTTCCCAACCACCTTTAAAAACTATTTTAAGAGGCAAGTTGTCTCTAGAACCATTTTTATAAACAGTTCTTGATAAAAGTTGTCTTTCAGAAAAACGAGCACCTTTGAAAATCATTTCTATAGTAGTGTCAATCCTGTTGACTAAATAAGTAAACTATAGCCAACGAAGAGTTTTGATATGATGTGAAGATTTGTCATTTCTTTATACCGCCTTTTAGCAAAATTCAACATTCGTGTACATACAACATACCAGTTTTCGGTACAACTCGATGTGACGATGTGCATATATCAACACTGAGCACAACTCGACAAATATATTCATGTCATTGCTCTCAAATTCATTAAAACACATAAAATGTAGCATTAAACATGAGCTTTGAATTTATTTGATTTAATTTAATTTACAGCCTGTTCGCTTGCTCGTAAACGATCGTAAATTTCCAGCCAGGAACAGTGTTTTTCTCTCACACCAAACCAGCCAGCAGTAAATAATCCACGATACGATACGGCCTCCCGAACAGGCTGTTAATAGACTAACAAAACCTACTTATATCAATAATAACATCTTCATCATACTCCATCTGTCCCAAAATAAGTGTCGTTATGGTATCCATGTCGGTTAATCTTTTCTAAGTTTAACTAGGTTTATAGTAAATATTAACAACATTTGTATCTCCAAATAAATTTGTTATGAAAATAGATTGAATGATCTATCTAATGATATTAATTATGTAATATATATATTAATATTTCCTTTATGTATATTTGGTCAAAGCTAAAAATGTTTGACTACTCGGAAAGCGAAAACGGGACAGAGAGAGTAATGCATGGTATTTTTTCTTAGACCCATAGTATGCATATTCTTTTAAGAATATTGTGGTGTGACATTATGTGCATTCGGATTTCTCTCGGAGGATAAAAGCAAGGGTGATTTTGACGGGACGAGATTCCCAACGGAATTTCAAGGCATCTGTATGTCTACCCGTGTCCTGTTTTTTTTTTTTATGGCCAAAAAAACCTGAGGCCATGTAATGCATCGCAACTCAAACCGTAAGAAGAATATGTGCCCCCTGCCCTATAAATTCCATGGAGATTCCCGCGCAGTTGCAGTGCTCCAGAACGGAACATCTCTCGCTCTACTGATTCTGGGTTTTTTCGTCTAACATCATCACAACGCTAGAAAAAATCTCCATCCGTTTGATCCATATCAGACGGCTGATAGGGCCTCTCCTATCTCTCCTCCCTCTTCCCCTCCACTGTCCACTCCCTGGATTGGAGTTTGGGCAACTTACGCGCCCGCCGCTGCTGCTCTCCTCTGGTTCTCCGCCCCCCTCGGCCCGCGCCTCCGCCGCCTCATCATCAAGATAAGGCTGCAGTCCTGCAGGTCCATGCTTCCAAGCTTCGGAGCGCTGCGCCGAGCCCGAGCCTCGAACTCTCGGCGGCGCCGGGTCCTGTGAAGGCTGCATGAGTAGTCGCGCCGCCGCCACCGCCACCGCAGAGGAGCCATGGGGATGCTCGCCGCCACCGCAGCCTCCTCTCCTCGCCTCGCCACAGGAGTCCTCGTCCGCCGCCCGCCTCTCCGGCGCGTGGACGCTTCACGCCGAGGCCCGCTGCCTCCTCGGCGTCGCGTCGCTCAGGTGAGTGTCTATCTGCCTGCTGCTGCTGCTGCTGCTGCCGGCCCCTGCGCTGGCTCTCGCCAAAAAAACGCGGCGCGCTCATTTGGGTGCTTTGATGCGCGAGGAGCTGATAAAGGTTCCTTCTTTTCAATATTGGAGCTCATGAGGTGGACAAGGGGTGGTTTGCTAGCTTAGGGATTTGAACTGGGGATGATTCATGTGCAAGATTGGTTGTTGAGAATGGGGAAGGTTGCTTAACCCTGGTAGGTTAGGCTCTTCCCATTGGGATGCTTGATGTGGAAATTAGGAGTTCAAATGTGTCATTAAGCATGTTTCTTATGGTTAATTTTTGTTGTGGATGCTGGGCTTCTGGCTCCTTTATAGCTTTTGCTACTTTCGGTTATGGAAATGAAAGCTAGATTTTGTTGTCTTGAATGTGTTTGTAAGTTTTCCTATCGGTATAGATGTGTTCAACATTGAATCCGGTGGGGGGCAATGGAGGTTAATTGACTAGAAACGCTGTAATA